TCAGGAGGATGCAGCCCATGAATTTGGACACGACCAGGATTTCAGAATTCTTTCCAATATGTTAAATGTATGCTGTTCATAATCTGCTTTGCTTTGTAGAAGAAAAGCCTTTAGTCACATTTCATAACCTTTTTCCAGTCACGGAGTTGATGAGATGTGACTGAAAGCTGTGTTTTTGGTCAACGTGCAGCTTGGTGATGTTATTTTGTGTTTTGCTCCTGATAATCAAGCACTGATGCAAAGTAGTGATGAAGGCTCTGTGTTGTTGGTTGGAGATGTGTGGATGGGTTTGATACCAGACTTGTTGGGTATACGAATGTTCGCTAAGTTCTGAACTTTATTATGTAAAAAAGGCAGATGCAGTAGAATCTAGTCAAAGTGATCAGTGGTGGTTGTAATTGTCCAAAATATCGAGCACTTTGAAATATTTCACGTTTAAACCTGTTAGAAAGTGACCCGTTTTATTTGGACAGAAATTTGCTGAAACTCATTTAATCTCTTTTAATTAATATAGTTTTGATCATTTAGAAGTTATCATTGATTTTATGGTTGTCACTCTTGTCTGTATGAAACCACTTATGTAAACGATGATCTGAAAGTGTTTCTGACTGTGCCACAAGTTCAAATAAAAGCTTCGTCAAACCTCAGAGGACTGAACAGTGACTTTGGTTCATGTTGTTTATTCAGGTTTGAATTTCAGGGGGGGAAAGTTTCTGTACAACACTGATATGAATAAATAGATTTATGTACAAAAAGAAACATTCATTTTACAGTACAGATAGGTTCTTTTGTTCTCATATATCCCAGAGAGCTGGGGCCAGCTAACGGCGGGCCACTCGTTCATCCAGGAGCTAAAAACAGACTGAACCCAGCTTTCCTGCAGGTCCATGATGGTGTAAGTTTAGTGTCTGGAGAACCTGATAACCTGTTTGAAATCACAGCCAGAAAAAACGCTGATCGTCAGTCAGTGAGCGAGTTCACATCTAAACCAGTTTTTTAATCCAACACAAATGTAATTAGCTCTGACACACACAACTTTCAGACTACTCAAAGACGTCCGACATTCCCACCAGGCTGCAGAGTCCTGATGATTTCCGATGTTTCAAGGGGAACTCGAGAATTCGTTGAGTTTTTAAAATATTTTCTGAAACAATGCAAATTTAGTGCACGCTTGCTACCTTAGCATGCTAAAGACTATACACAAGGCTAATGCTACAGTCAGTATTTTTGCACATGTTTGGTCACAAACCAAAGAATGGAGCACATAATGTCGGCCCTATTACAACACTATTGGTTCGATAGAATGGTTACCAGAATTTAATCAGAGGAGGTTACATCACGCTCTTCGGTGCTGGAAGAGTTCGTCAGCTCATCGGATGGAGGTTCGAACTCCATCCTGCCTGTGCGGCTAATGAAAAGTCAGAGGACCACCTGTGTAATTAGGATTCATCCTCTGAGGAAGAAACTTCGTGTCAGTGTCTGATAAGTGCCGAGATATTCATCGCCTCTCTGCTAGCTGAGCTAAAGGTCTTCAGCTCCAGCTGCCCCTCTTTATTCTGAAACAACTTTTCTCTGACCAGCTTTACCGTCGACCTTCCAACAAAGAATCGTTCTCTCAACCTCCTCAGCCCGTCTCGTATCTGACCTTTGACTTCACTCAGGAGGCATCTGACAGGAAATTCTCGCCCTGACGTTTTCATCTCATCAGAATGAGCAAAAACAACCTTTGCATGTTGAGCCTACTCTGCCCGTTTCTTTGCAAACACTGCAGACACGCTCCTGACGATCCCTCGGACGCCGGCCGTGCTTTTTCTTATAGCTCGCGTCTCTTTCACGAGGTCGACCAGGCGGTGAAACACCAGCAGGACGCCGTGGTACGTCTCCGCCGCGGACACCTCGAAGAAGCCACACTGTTGGGACAGGGCGAGCAACCGTCCCTCCTCGCCAGAGACGGTGCGGTGCCGCTGCAGGTCGCGTTTGTTTGCCACGATGATGATGGGGACAGAGGACGGCTTCCTGCTTCGACGTATCTGCTGCAGCTGCTGCTGGACGACGTCGAAGCTGCTGCGATCGCACATGTTGTAGACGAGGATCATCCCGTCAGCCCACTGCAGCTGTTTGTCGCTGACGGAGGAGCTCTTCTCTCCGGGCTGTGGAGAAAGCAAACGCACAAACTCTAAAATTCATGCTCGCATCATTATTTATGGTGTTAATGTGCAAATTTATGCAAAAAGGTTCCCCAAACTAATCTGTCGAACTAAACTAACCACGCGCTCGATATAAACGATTGGTCCTCAGTCTGCATTCTGTCTATTGACCATCAGGGGGCGACTCTTCTGACGTTCCTTGGTATAGAGCTCTATTGGAGACACTTGACCTATGACCTTAGCAAACACTTTCCCCATGTTTAT